AGGCTTCTCAATAGTGAGCATGGGAAGGTGTGTGAGGGGAGTTTAAATACTGAAAGGAAAGGGACGTGGTTGGATAATTGGTTAGGGAGTGAGAATTTATGGAATCTAGTGCATGTGAGAATGTGATGGGTTCAATCAGGAATGAGATTGTGAAACAGTGGTTCTGGGAATGGAACACCCTTTGCGAGGGAGAGTGTGGGGTGTGACAATCGCCTTGTTCAAAGCCCCTTTATGCTACCCATATCCAAAACAATATGGCACGCAGCTACACAACCACTAGGCAGCCTTTCATTACCTTCGCTGGGCTGAACAGTCCCAAATCCTCTCGAGAAACATACAATGGAAAGGAAGTTGGTGAAATTAAGGAAATATCAAAAGCTACACTGTGTGATAACATATTTAAAATCAATGGGGTAGATGTAAGAACGTACAAATTTAGCAGCTTTTGTGCAAAAAATACAAAAAAAATTAACCAATTAATCAGGAGAAACAAATATTTTCAATGATATCTATACGCTTATCAAAATACAATACACTGAAAAAATGACAAAAATCCAGGCTCAAATTCTTCATATCCTTCCTAGGAAGACACCTCTGATTCCTGCTCAAACACTCAGTTTGCCTTTTTAATTGCTACTGGACAGTGTCCCAGTGGATGGTACTTCACTCTGTGAGGCACTTTCTAGTTTCAATAAAACCCTAATTTAAAATCCCAAGGTGCAACACATACATTCAATCTCAATATCCCCAAAATCACATCTGCTGAAATTTTCAAAAAACTCCAGAAATGCCACCTAAGTCCTTATCATTGTGAAGAATTAAATGCATTTTAGCTTGTACTGTAAACAAACTTGGGAATCCTTCTAGAATTATTTAATTGCATTTTTGTAAATAAGATTGTTACATCTCAAAGCACTTTACATATAGGACGAAACCCACCTTGTAGATAACTGATGTGCTGCCCCTGTCAGAGTGACACCCGGCAGCCATTCTTTGCCAACAGTACATGCCCTCATGCAGGAAATAAAACTTCTAACCAGGAAATAAACACCTCTTACTATTCTGCTCTGCTTCTTGTTCGGAGTCCAACAGTTCTACCGATCCACATTTGTCTCTTTACAGTGTATGCTGTGTCCCAAGTGATATTTGCATGGTTGCAAATCAAACATGCTTCCAAAATGCGGAGTCCAAGCACTAAAGCGATAACAGTAAGACCTTTAAAATTCCACAAGGCATTTCAGTGAAATGTGAACTACCCAAGCAGTTAAAAATGATGATCATTTGACAACATGCGTGGAAC